GTTTAGGGTTTATTAGGGTTTAGGGTTTATTAGGGTTTAGGGTTTATTAGGGTTTAGGGTTTAGGGTTTAGGGTTTATGTTTTGTGTTTCTTAGGACGCCAGAGCTGCGGGAGTGTCTCGGCGAACCCCTCATCTGTGCGCCCCCAAACCCTAAACCCTAAACCCTAATAAACCCTAAACCCTAATAAACCCTAAACCCTAATAAACCCTAAACCCTAATAAACCCTAAGCCCTAAACCCTAATAAACCCTAAACCTTAATAAACCCTAAAACCTAAACCCTAATAAACCCTAAACCCTAATAAACCCTAAACCCTCACAAACCCCAAACCCCAAACCCCAATAAACCCTAGACCCTAAACCCTAATAAACCCTCAACCCTAATAAACCCTAAACCCTAATAAACCCTAAACCCTAACTCTTCCTTCAAGCCCGTCAAGGGTTTAGGGTTTAGGGTTTTAGGCGTTTGTTATTTATTTGTATTATTTGTTTGTTTATAGTATTTTTGTTGTTTATTTATTTTATTTGTTGTTTACTTTATTTATTTTTTATTTTCTTTTTTATTTTTTTTATTTTTTTTTCGCAGCAGGAGGAGACGAATGCATCCTTTGGGCGCCAACATATCGATTGGTTTGTCTTTTGTTTTTTATTTATTTTTATTTATTTTTTATTTTATTTTATTTTTTTTTTTATTTTTTATTTTATTTTTTATTTTATTTTATTTTATTTCTTTCTTTCTTTTGTGTCTTTCATTTGTTTTTATTTTTTTTTATTTTTATAGTTTTGTATTTTCTTCTTTGTCTGTATCTCTCACTCTCTGTTTTTTTGTTGTTTATTATTTATTTATTATTTCTTTATTATTCTTTTGCTGTCTAGGGTTTAGGGTTTAGGGTTTAGGGTTTAGGGTTTAGGGTTTGTGTTGGGGTGTATATGCAGGTAGCAGCAGATATACGTAATATAAAGGAATTAACAAAAGCAGTAAAGGCAGCAGGATTAAGAACAGAGTCAGTTGCTGCTCTTCTTCTTGTTTTTTTTTTGTTTTTGTTTTTGTCTTTTTGCTTTTTGTTTTTTGTTTTTGTTTTGTGTTTTTGTTTTCTTTCTCTGGTTTTTTGTTTTTGGTTTTTTGTTTTTTGTTTGTTTTTTGTTTTGTTGTTTTTGTTTTGTTGTTTCTGCTGTTGTATGTGGTATATGGTCTAGGGTTTGCAGATGTTTAGGGTTTAGGGTTTAGAGTTTAAGAGTGTTTAGGGTTTATAAGAGTTTAGGGTTTATAAGGGTTTAGGGTTTATAAGGGTTTAGGGTTTAGGGTTTAGGGTTTGTGTGTGCAGCTTGCCGACGCTGTTTGTGTGTGAATGTGTTTTAATTTATCTACGAGTTGAGGAAGCAGATGCGGTGCGTCTCTAGGGTTTAGGGTTTAGGGTTTAGGGTTTAGGGTTTATTAGGGTTTGGGGTTTAGGGTATATTAGTTTTTAGGGTTTAGAATCAAATGGTTTATTAGGGTTTAGGGTTTAGGGTTTATTAGGGTTTAGGGTTTATTATGGTTTAGGATTTATTAGGGTTTCGGGTTTATTAGGGTGTAGGGTTTAGGGTTTATTAGGGTTTAGGGTTTAGGGTTTGTATTTTCTTTGGGGTGTTGCAGTGTACAGACACCTCGATGCTGAAATAAATAAAAAGTTTATTTATATTTTATTTTTTTTATTTATTTAAATTTTTATTTATTTATTTATTTTCTCCCTTTTTTCAAGTGTATGTAGAGCTCATATATCATTTCTTTCTTTCTTTCTGCTGCTGCTGCTGTTGTTGCTGCTGCTGCTGTTGCTGCTGCTGCTGTTGCTGCTGCTGCTGTTGCTGCTGCTGCTGTTGCTGCTGCTGCTGCTCTTCCTCCTGCTGCTCTTCTCCTCCTCCTCTCCCGCTGCTGCTGCTGCTACTGCTACTGCTGCTGCTGCTGCTGCTACTGCTGCTACTGCTGCTGCTGCTGCTGTTGCTGCTGCTGCTGCTGCTGCTGCTGCAGCTGCTGCGGTGGGCAGCAGCATTGATTGCTGCTGCTCCCTGCAGTTTAATTTTATATGAACAAATAAAACCCTCGGATCCATTTGGCGTTATGATGATACAAAACCTACAGGCAAACCCTAAACCCTAAACCCTAAACCCTAAACCCTAGTTGGTTTTTTTTTTTTTTAAACCCTTATAAACACTAAACCCTAATTCATAAACCCTAGTAAACCCTTATAAATACTAATATATTCGTTTGTGCCTTTATAGACATTTATTTTATGTTATACATAATTTTATATATAAACCCTTATACACTATACTACACCCTAAACCCTAAACCCTAAACCCTAGAAAACCCTAAACCCTAATCATCGCTACTAAAGCCTCGGCTTGTAGGGAATGCTTAGGCTGTACATTTTCTTATAAAGGTGAGGGTTTAGGGTTTACTAGGGTTTAGGGTTTAGGGTTTAGGGTTTATTAGGGTTTAGGGTTTATAAGGGTTTAGGGTTTAGGGTTTAGGGTTTGTGCAGATGAGGGGCTGCCCGCTGCGGACGATCTTTAAATACCCAACAATCGAAGCACAGAAAGAAAGGTAACATTAATAAATAAAAAATAAATAAATAAATAAATAAATAAATAAATAAATAAATAAATAAATAAATAAATAAATTAATGAATAAATAAAAAATAAATAAATAAAATAAATTTATTTGTTTATTTATTTATTTATTTATTTATATATTAATTTATTTATTTATTTATTTATTTATTTCTCA